GGCTAGGGAGGTTTAGGTGCCAGACGTAGCGGGTGGCGGCGTCGATGAAGGTGATCGTAAAGTTGTATGCTCCTTGTCCTGGTTCCCGATTGTACAGGATGTCGCTGTTGATTTCCGCATGCGTAGGAAGAGCCGTCGAGACTCATGGATGTCACGTTGTTGTTGTTGTTGCTGTTGCTGTTGTTTGATTGCGCAGGTGCTCCTTGCTGGTGTTGCTCGTAGAAGGACATGAAGGAGAAAAATTTCTCCATCATGCTTGGGTCGAAGCCCGCGCCTTGATTTGCTGGTGTTTCGGTAGACCCAGCTGCCGGTCTCGTTGTTGTGCCCTCCTCTGTCTGTAGGCCAGAGGCTGGGGGTGGAGTAGGGGTAGTACTGGGAGAGCCGTTGGAGGAGCTTCTCTCCTTTCGGGTAGACATGTCTTCTTGATGTCGTAGGTATTAAGAATTGAGCTTAATCCTAACCTGCTCTCATACCATGTTGGGCTGAAAGCCCCTCAGGATCTTTTTGTAGGACTAAATTCGAACTAGAATGATGTAATAGTGGAAGCGTTGAATAAAGACTTGTGAACCACCTTGCGCTGGTATGTGAGGGCAAAGTAAGTTAATTAGAACAAGCAAATATAAAGTTTTATATAATATTACAAGGAATACGAAGAGATACGATTGATAACTGTTTTACTGTTTGCTGTTGCGGTTCGATACAGTGCGACTCGGGCAACTGCTCAATATCGAGTAAGTTGTGTGTCCTTGATGTCGCGCTGCATTTGTTAGGTCAAAGGTTGCTGACCTTTGACTTTCGCGTAAAATCCAACAGTGTTTCAACCTCCGAGGGTTGACTCACCGATGCTTCGATATGCTCTGCTTTGCTTCTGACTTGGTGTTTCGACACGACAGATGCGTACTTTGATTATTTGTTCCCAACATATTCGACATGCGAACCTGTTGACATGAGTTCTACCTGACATCTAGTGCAATAAGCCCGGCGACACGACCGTCTATCTGCACCTACGTGGTAGCACCAACATCGCTGACGCGCTCCGGACCTCCGCCTCGACACATCCCAACCTCGGCGCTAGGCCCGTCGCGCACACTATTTCCCACACATTACCATTACCATTGTAATTTTTCTATATATTATTCGCTCATGCCTGTGCTCGTTGTGCTTTTGCTTCGATAGTGCAATTCTCGCTCGCTCGATCCTGCAGCCGTAGATGCAGAGTTTGCGGAGATAACTACTACAACGGGAGCTAGACTACGGGCTTGGCACGGGTTCTCATGTGATCTTTGCGTTCGTTGGTCCTTAGTCGTTTTCCTAGTGCACATACAGCTTGCTAGTTCATGGGGAGAATTGGCAAGAGTTTCACTAGAGAAAGTTGACAACAATGGTTCAAAGAAGTTGGCATGGCAAGACTACATCAGAGCTAGCATTCAAGTCGGTCGACTAAGGGCGTGTAACCATTTTGCACTCGACGGAACGAACCGTGGACCGTACGTCGATGCGAAGGGTTACCATCATCGTTTAATGTCGTGCAGTTCTTCGCGAGGACGTGTGGGACGTCGTTACAAATTCGAACCGTCATGACACTTTTTCCGCTTTCCAACGACACGAAACTCTGACAACGGACCGGGTCCGAATCACAAACGGACTGTCCGCCTGTCCGCGCACGCGATTGGCGGGCGAACATGGATTTCAGCGGACCGCCTCGCCAAAACATGGAAAATGCGACTCGGATGCAAAAATTGACAATTAACCATCACAACTAGCCATACTACAATACAAGAAGCCACGACATTGACCTTGTGCTTGTTTGAAAATTTCCCTATGTTTGTCCGAAGCGCTGAACTCAACAGGCGAAAATTGCGATGGGTTGTGACTGGCGTTACTGGAGTACATTTGAGATGGCGAAGGGAAAACCATCGCGGAAACCCTAGCATGTGGAAAAAGTTGTCACATATGCATTCGTACCGTCCGAAGTTGCAAACATTCAAATCGGACAGTCCGTTTCGTTTTTAAACGTACCGTCCAACTCCATATAATCGGACGGTACGCCAAAATCACAAAATGCAAAATGGTTACACGCCCTAAAACTGGGAAGTCAAATGGTGGGAAATGAGGTGAAGGGAGTTTCTGTATACATACGAGGTCAGATACAGAAAGTTGTCATTCACTCGTTGCAAACGTGCACACGAGACAAACCTCTGTGCCATCAGCTCTGAGAGAATTAGCCCCCCTCTAGCACACGCGCTATAGTGTACAATGTACGTCCAGCTGCTACAACATCTAATTGCGATCCGCGTAATATTTTTCTTATCAGAGCTTTAATTTCGTTGCCAACTTCCTTTGTGGAAACCCGGCTTGTGTCACTTCCTCTATCAGCACTTGTGTTGCCCAGACCCAAGACTGAGATTAGTAACGAGTGATATTTTTCCTAGATACCTCGTTAGCGCTCGTTAGTCAAGCAGGCCTGACTGCTGCAAAGTTCAGCGAAATCTCTCTCTCCAGACTCGTGCGATCACGCCGCCCACGTCAGCCATGCCGCTCGGTCAAAGAGCCGGCGACGCTGAGCGAATCGCGATACCTGCGGTGCCGAGGTCGCTTATAGCGAGGACATCCCATCACACATTGGCGGCGAACTTGGCAGGAGGCTTTGATTTCATCGTCGCTCCTCTAGTACGCCGCGACCCGCAAACCCTCCTTCTCTCTTTCCCCACCCTCCCTCCCTCCCGCCATTTGCGGACGACACGCTCCTCTTCTCCTGATTTTGGGTGCAATATCGCACAGTGTTTGTTGGTAGATTGCACCGTACATTGCCGGGATTACCGAACCTGAGATCAGCGAGGCGATCTTTTGCACTTAACGGAGACTTCTAATTCGGCTCAAAAGTCACCTCGGGGTTCCCGAACCTGAGATCAGCGAGCCAATCCTTTCCACGGGAAGGAGAAGGACTGCCGAACTAGAGATCAGCGATATCGTTTCCTAAGCAGTATTGAGAGCGCAAAATGGATATTGGGGGACGTTTTGCGCGCACCTTCCGACCCCTAGCGGCCCCGTCGCCGCTCTTCGCGGCCCCGTCATCGCCTCTACCGGCCCCTTCACCGCTGAGCCGCCCAGCAGCTGAGCAGCCGAGCCACCACGCCGCCAGCCGCCCAGCAGCCGAGGCGCCCGACAGCCGAGCCGCCGAGCCGCCCAGCAGCCGAGCCGCCGAAGCCGCCGCGCTGCCCAGCGACCGAGCCGCCGAGCCGCTCCGAGCAAGCCGAGCCGCCCAAGAGCCGAACCGCCCGAGCCGCTGAGCCGTCGAGCCGCAGAGCCGCCGTGCCGCCCAGCAGCCGAGCCGCCGAGCCGCCTAGCCGTCGAGCCACTACTGTTCCTACTGGCACGCCCCGGCCCTACTCCCTTGGACTGATGAGCTCACTCCCTGCTATGCCACTACAGTCATGGCTACCCCCAGTGTCCTTACCTTGAGACTGAGGGTCGTGCTGTTGACTTTGAGGTCTGGGTCGATGACCTCCAGCTGTTCTTACAGTGCGATAGGGCAGATAGACTCTCCCTGTTCGATCTCACCTCTGGTGTCTCTCCTGCCCCGCCTGCTACTGCTCGACAGCACTGTTCGCTCACAGTGGGCTTCCAAATTGGCCCTGTTGCTGCTGTCCTTGCGTGAATGGCAGCACGAGCCCAGTTTCTCACTTGGGAATGATAGATTGCAACTTCATCGCCATTATCATTATGGCTTTTGGGTAGATCCTTCTCAAACCTGAGCTTAAATTCCACCTGCCTCAAAATAAATGTTTTAAAATCAGAAACCTCTCTGTTCAATAACAAAAAAACATTACAAAAGAGCATGAACTACAAAACAAAGGGGAACTTACCCCCATTAACCAGTACGCGATAAGGTTCAGATTCAGAATGATGACCCTCTCGCAGGAACGAAGCGGTGATGGCTCGAATGAAAAGGTCGGTAGAGAAAGGCACGCCATCTTTGTTCCTGCCCCATGTCATCAAACCATGTGATGTCGCGGTCTGGTTTAGGGTGAGGGATTTGTAATGAAAAGTGCATATAAAAGCATTTGATGGACAGATCGTCTATGGGAGTGTTGCGACACCTGTGATGGGAGGAGCATGAGCGGTGTTAGAATAGAGGCGTATGCTGGAGAATAAAAACGGAGGGGATGAATTCAGTTGGGGGAGGGGAGGGCTTGCGATCTGTAGGCGATGGAGAAAAGGAGGGGATGATCCCGGGGGGGGTGAGATCTGAAGGGGAGGGGGGAAAGGAGGAGATGAATCCAGGGGCCGGGTGTGATCTGAAGGTGAGGGAGGGAAAGAAGGGATGAATCCAAGGGGGGGTGCGATCTGAAGGGGAGGGAGGGAAAGAAGGGATGAATTCAGGGGCAGGTGTGATCTGAAGGGGAGGGAGGGAAAGAAGGGAGGAATTCAGGAGCGGGTGCGATCTGAAGGGGAGGGAGGGAAAGAAGGGATGAAGGGGCCGGGTGCGATCTGAAGGGGAGGGAGGGAAAGAAAGGGATGAATTCAGGGGCGGGTGCGATCTGAAGGGGAGGGAGGGAAAGAAGGGATGAATTCAGGGGCGGGTGCGATCTGAAGGGGAGGGAGGGAAAGAAGGGATGAAGGGGCGGGTGCGATCTGAAGGGGACGGAGGGAAAGAAGGGATGAATCCAAGGGGGGGTGCGATCTGAAGGGGAGGGAGGGAAAGAAGGGATGAATTCAGGGGCGGGTGCAATCTGAAGGGGAGGGAGGGAAAGAAGGGATGAATTCAGGGGCAGGTGCGATCTGAAGGGGAGGGAGGGAAGGGATGAATCCAAGGGGGGGGTGCGATCTGAAGGGGAGGGAGGGAAAGAAGGGATGAATTCAGGGGCGGGTGCGATCTGAAGGGGAGGGAGGGAAAGAAGGGATGAATCCAGGTGGGAGATGGGATTTGAAGGGAGGGGGGAAGGAGGGGATGAATACAATTATGCTTTGGGTAGCAGAGGATATGTATGTGTGTTAGCATGGGAACACGAATAGGGATGTGAAAATGAGTAACCGAATTATTGCAATTACCGTACGCACAGCAAATACATAAGGACTTATGAGATGTATGATAAAACAATAAATAGTTAGAGGTAGCACACAAACCCGGGAGGAACTAGCAAGATGATGGGAGATAAGGATATGTAGGAGTGTGTGTGGAAATACACAGGGTGGCAGATGAAGAAATGGAAGATGGTGCAAGTTGGCTTACATACCTGCACGATAGGTACCACAAAACGCCGACATCTCCATCTTCCCGTTGTTAACTCCGGGCTCGCGCACACCGACGGTGGTGTCAATGTTGAATGCCTTGATCACAATGACACGAGCAGGAGCGAGGATGTCGAAGCGATAGTCTTGGAAAAACTTGCGGATGTAGCTTGTCCGAAGCCCGTCAAGTTTCATAGACCAGCTCAAGCTGATCATACTGCCATTGCTGGGTAGAGCCCAAGGCCTGACCCATCGCCTGCAGCAATGCTCTCCTACTTGGGTAAAAGGTGATGTCGACGTCAGCTCTCTCCCAAAAAATTACATCCCTGGTGCGGATCATTTTTCCCTACGGGTGTGAAGTTTGCGATCAAATGTCATGAGAGGGGCATAAGAACAAAGCATGGAGAAATGCAGCCACTACAAGCATGGGGGGAACAAATTAAAACGGTTTGCATTGCATTGGAAGGGCAATGCGAGCAGGCACATGCTCGCAAGCAGCTTATGCAAGTAGCACATGCAATCAGCACATTCAAGAAGCACATGCACGCGGCACATGTGAGAACCACATACATTCGGTACATGCAAGACGCACATGCAGACAGCACATGCGAGGAGCATATGCGAGAAGCACATGCAGACAGCACATGCGAGAAGCACATGCTAGCGGCACATGCAATATGCACTGGCAAGCAGCCAGTGCAAGCAGAACCTGCACGCACCACGTGCAAGCAGCACGTGGTAGCAGCACATGCAAGCAAACACGTGCAAGCAGCACATGCAAGAAACACGTGCAAGCAGCACATGCAAGCAACACGTGCAAGCAGCACATGCAAGCAAACACGTGCAAGCAGCACATGCAAGAAACACGTACAAGCAGCACATGCAAGCAACACGTGCAAGCAGCACATGCAAGCAACACGTGCAAGCAGCACATGCAAGCAACACGTGCAAGCAGCACATGCAAGCAACACGTGCAAGCAGCACATGCAAGCAGCACATGCAAGCACTTCCTGCAAGAAGCACATGCAAGAAGCACTTGCAAGCAGCATGTGCAAGCAGCAGGTGCAAGCAACACTAGCAAGCAGCACTTCCAAGCAACACATACAAGCAGCAATGGTGACATACCACATGGAATAGGCAGTTTTATTTTGAGCTTAGGTTTAGACTTACACGAAGTCCAGTTCTGACGTTTGGGATGGCCTTCATTGCACGGTCCACTGTGCAGGTCCAGTCTTGGTCCTGTGGTGCCACATAGTGCATCGTGAACTGCAAACCAATTTTGTTGGCAACAGATAGCTGTTTAGCTATCTCTGCCCGACTCAAGACTGTCATAGAACCCATGTACGGACCTGCCACATGTTGAGGGGGGGTCTGCATGTGTGACAGAACACATGGTCAACGTGTAGGGAAAATAGAAGGGATTGGCAACGCATGGTGTGATCTTTGAGAAAACTGAAACGAGAATGAATGAACTATGAAAGAAGTGAGTACAAGTACTAACCCTAATTGGGTTGCACCCCCTATGGGATACCCCCACTATAGCCTACACAAAATGTATAAGCTACAATGTTCTGACAATCTTTGCTTGCGAAAGGATCTAACAGGCAGCAAGTGAACAAGGGAGAAGCGTCGTTACCATCGTGGTACTGCATGGTGCTCTTACAACATCTAGCATGTGATGCAAGCGGAATCGAATATTGGAGGTGATATGATCGCATGCTATTCACTGCTAGGCTTACCTGGCGGGGCTCTCGGGCACTCGTTAATGGTCCAGGGGCAGCTGGCTCGGTCCCGACCGACGCTATCCTCTCGGTTGGGTCATTTCCGTATGCACCGCTAGAGGATCCAGGAGAACGCCGACGAAGGAGCTGGTTTCTCGTTTTTCCTTCTCTTTCAATTTTCGCTTCAACTCGCGGATCTCCGCTATATAGTCATCTGATGCTACGATTAGGGCGTGTAACCATTTTGCACTCGACGGAACGAACCGTGGACCGTACGTCGATGCGAAGGGTTACCATTATCGTTTAACGTCGTGCAGTTCTTCGCGAGGACGTGTGCGACGTCGCTTCGAATTCGAACCGTCATGACACTTTTTCCGCTTTCCAACGACACGAAACTTTGACAACGGACGGTCCGAATCACAAACAAACTGTCCGCCTGTCCGCGCACGCGATTGGCGGGCGAAAATGGATTTCAGCGGACCGCCTCGCCAAAACATGGAAAAATGCGACTCGGATGCAAAAATTGACATTGACCAATCACAACTAGCCATACTACAATACAAGAAGCCACGACATTGACCTTTGTGCTTGTTTGAAAATTTCCTATGTTTGTCCGAAGCGCTGAACTCAACAGGCAAAAATTGCGATGGGTTGTGACTGGCGTTACTGGTGTACATTGAGATGGCGAAGGGAAAACCATCGCGGAACCCTAGCATGTGGAAAAATTGTCACATATGCATTCGTACCATCCGAAGTTGCAAACATTCAAATCGGACAGTCCGTTTCGTTATAAACGTACCGTCCGATTCCATATAATCGGACGGTACGTCAAAATCACAAAATGCAAAATGGTTACACGCCCTAACAGCACATCTCAGCCGACCGCATTCCAGCACGACACCGTCGACCGCGCTCCAGCAGTGCAAAGTCGACGGCGTGCCAACGTCGCAGGTTGACGGCGTGCCAGCGTTGCCTCACGTAGAACAGCAGTGCACCCGCTTTGCAGGTGCGCGCAGATGATTGGCAGGCTGAGCCTCGTCACCTGCACAACGCATACACCAAGTCATCCTCGTGCTGACGACTCCACATGATCCGCCATGTTGACCTCGGGATACCACCCCCGAGGTCCGGCTCGCCAACTTTGCCTGGGCGACCGTCGCACTCCTCCGCAGAACCTCGTCACCCAGATAACGTGGTCGACCGGGCAACCACGTCGACCAGTTGCTCCTGTATGTGCCCGTCGACCTCCCAAGTTGACGGCCACTCCAAGTCGACCTCACCAGGTCGACCACGCCCCTGGTCGACCAGCTCCAGGTCGACGTCACTTCTGGTCGACCAGCTCCATGTCGACCAGCAGTGCTGGTCGACCAGGTTCATGTCGACCAGCGCAGTTGTCGGCCGACCACCCAAGTCGGCTGCCCCAAGTTGACGTCACCAAGTTGACGTCCTCCGCAGGTCGACTTCCCAGGTTGACCTCCCCGAAGTCGGCGCCAACCTGAAGTTAGCGCCCGCGCAGTGGCCCCAGTGCAGGTCGACCTCCTCGTCAACCTGCTCGCCCACTGCTGCAAGTCGGTTGCTTCCCTCACACCCGACCACGAAGTCGGCTCCGCCCAAGCGAGGACGGGGCCAACGCACAACTCCCGTTGACAGAGTTCTCTCGCCTTCCTCACCGCATCCGTGCGCTTCCTTCGTTCCACGGAAGGCCATGGTTCTCATGTCAGAATAATATATAATTCTATATATTGTTTTGTAACTGCCTGTAGTGTAGACTACTGTAGTCATAGAAGTTTCTGGTGGTGCACCTTTCTTGTTTGTTCTTTCCTATTTGTACCCTCGCTCAATATTGAAACCAACTCTCTTTTGTCAAACTCTCTCGACTCTCCTAACTCACTCGAACTCCACCAAGACTCCTAAGTCTTAGGCCATGGCTCCTAAGCCCAACTCTTGCTAGTTATTTTGACATGTTATCAGAGCGTGTTCCGCTCCTGGACTCCTGCTTCCGCTGCTACTGAGTGTACTGCACGCCCCGTGGTGTGCCCTACTGTCGCGGCCCCGCCGCCCTCCTGTCGCGGCCTCGCCGCCCTGCTTTAGCGGCCTCGCCGCCCTACTGTCGCGGCCCCGCCGCCCTACTGTCGCGGCTCCGCCGCCCTATTCTGCGGCCTCGCCGCCCTACTCCTGCGGCCCCGCCGCCCTACGTCGCGGCCTCGCCGCCCACATTTGCGGCCCCGCTGCCCTCTGTTGCGACCCCGCCACCAGAGGCCCCGATGTCACCTGCGGCCCCGCCCACTTGCGGTCCCGACCCTGTCCCGGCCATGCCTCGTCACCAGCTGCGGCACACCAGGGGCACGTGCACCGGCCCCCCCCTTCTTCCCGTCACCTGTCGCGGCTCCTTCGGGGGCCGCGGGCGACCTGAAAGGAGGGGGCAGGCGTAGCCCCCTCTGCCGCCTGCTTTGGCGCCCGGGGAGGCCGTGTGTCCCCCCCCCCCCCCCCTTCTCCTCCTCCTTTTGTTCCCTCTGCTGCAGCTGCCGCTGGGGGGGAGGGTGTGGGGGAGCCCGGGGAGGGACTGGGGGTGGCGGGTGTGGGGGTGATGGGGGTTGTGTGGTCCCCTGGCCCTATGGCCCCATCCTCCTCCGTTTGCCCCCCCCCCCCCCCTCTGCTGCTCCTGCAGCAGAGGGGGAGGGGGAGGGGGAGGGTGAGGGGATGTAGGGGGTGACCAACCAGAACCTACCACCTCCTCTCCTCTCTCTCCCTCTCTCTCTCCTCCTCCTTGCCTGCCCTCTCCCGTTCTGCTGCGCACTCTGCCTCGTGTACCCCATTATGGGGGCGTTGTCTGCACATTCTTCCCTACAGGCACTTATGGGGGCGTGTCAGAATAATATATATAATTCTATATATTGTTTTGTAACTACCTGTAGTGTAGACTACTGTAGTCATAGAAATTCTTGGTGGTGCACCTTTCTTGTTTGTTCTTTCGTATTTGTACCCTCGCTCAATATTGAAACCAACTCTCTTTTGTCAAACTCTCTCGCTCTCCTAACTCACTCGAACTCCACCAAGACTCCTAAGTCTTAGGCCATGGCTCCTAAGCCCAACTCTTGCTATTTATTTTGACATCTCAGATGTAGCTGTGCTAGGGACTGAGAGAGAAGAGGGTGATTCAAAGTGGTATGCTAAGTTACTACTCCTGTTTCGAATCGTAGAGAATGGGACCAAGAAAGACTATGCATTCATAAAATACTATGAGGCTACTAGGGCCCTAGACCCGGGTAGCGAAGTGTGTGAAGCTGAAGTGGGCAGACCTCGATGATCGTTACCGGGTAGTAGAGACCACAAGCATCAAGAGAGTGGTGCAACTGGTGCAGCCGTTCATAGGGGATGACAGTTGGCTATTAAACAGATTCTGTTTCTAGCAATTCTGAATGATGATTTTCACTTGTTGAAGAGTATTGAAGCACTGGAAGATACAGACAGACG